ATAATTTTCTGGCAAATTTAAATGCCTTGAAAACAAATTGGTTAACAAACTTAAGTTTTTTGTCAAATATAATTTTTTTTTACTAAAAATTTAAATGTTTTGCAAAATATATTTTTGTGACACAAAATTTAAATGTTTTGTAAAATAGAATTTTTTGTTGACAAAATTTTTAAATATTTCGTAAAATAGAATTTTTTGTTGACAAAATATTTAAATGTTTTTGAAAAATATTGTTTTGCAAAATTTAATTTTTGACAAAAAATTTAAATGTTTTGCAAAATATATTTTCTTTGACAAAAAATTTATGTTTTATAAAATTTAATCTTTTTGACAAAACAATTAAATGTTTTGTAAAATAGAATTTATTTTTTGTTGAGAAAATATTTAAGTATTTTGTAAAATTAGAATTTTTTTTATTTTGTAAAATCTAATTTTTTATAAATCTAATTATTTTTCACATAAAATTAAAATATTTTGTAAAATATAATTATTTTTCAAAAAAATTCAAATGTTTTTGAAAAATATTGTTTTGCAAAATTTAATTTTTGAAAAACAATTTAAAAGTTTTGGAAAATACATTTTTTGTAAAATAGAATTTTTTGTTGACAAAAAATTGAAATGTTTTATAAAATAGAATTTTTTGGTGACAAAAAATTGAAATTTTTTGGCAAAATATAATTATTTTTCACAAAAAATTGATATATTTTGTAAAATCTAATTATTTTTCACAAAAAATTGAAATATTTTGTAAAACAATTTAAAATTTTTGCAATTTATGTTTTGTAAAATTTAATTTTTTTTGACAAAAAATTAAAATGTTTTATGAAATAGAATTTTTTGTTGACAAAAAATTGAAATGTTTTAAAAAATTGATATATTTTGTAAAATCTAATTATTTTTCACAAAAAATTGAAATATTTTATAAAATCTAATTATTTTTTACAAAGAATTGAAAAATTTTTGTAAAACATTGTTTTGCAAAATTCAATTTTTGCCAAAAATTTTAATGTTTTGTAAAATCATAAAAAATTGAAATATTTTGTAAAATAGAATTTTTTGTTGAGAAAAAATTAAAATATTTTGTAAAATAGAATTTTTTTGACAAAATATTGAAATATTTTATAAAATAGAATTTTTTGTTGACAAAAAATTGAAATATTTTGAAAAATGTAATTAGGTTTTGTAAAAAAATTTCAAATACTCGTGAAAAATATTGTTTTGCAAAATTTAATTTTTGACAAAAAATTGTAATTTTTTGTAAAATAGAATTTTTTATCACGAAAAAAATGAAATGTTTTGTAAAATAGAATTTTTTTTTTCACAAAAAACTGAAATATATTGAAAAATATAATTTTGTTTTTCAAAAAATATTTGAATTGTTCGAAAAATATAATTGTTTTTCATCAAAAAATTTTATTTGAAAAATATTAACTTGTTTTTCACAAAAAATGTTTTTGAACAATTTTTTTTTTACGTTAGAAATTATTTTTCTTTAAATAATGAACATTTTGTCGAATTAAAAATAGCAATTTTTATAAAAATAATCAAAAGGAAAAAAAACTAATAGACATGAGTCTTTCTGGGAAAGAATTTTCCGTTTCCCTTTTAAAATTCAGTCAATTTTGTTTTTTTGTTTTCTTTTTCTCAATGAAAAAACGCCTCGCTGCCGGCCAGTGCATTTTGTTTTTTTTTTTTTTTGCAATATTTATTAATGTAAATCACACATTGACAAGATTTTTTATATTATATAAATAATCGCAGGTCAATATTGAGAGAATCTGAAAGAGTCTAATTTTTATTATTGTGATACTAAAAAATGGGGTTCGTTCGTAAAATTTCGTCGATTTAAATATTGAAATGAAACAAAAAGAAAAAAAATACATAAAAATATTTTATTTGTTGTTTTGAAAAGAAAATCCAATATCGAGTTATTATTATAATTTTACCTGTAAATTAACTGTAATAATCTAATTTTTATTCAAATTATTTATTCAAATAATTTTATTATCTTAAATAGGAAGAAAAATTAAAATATACGATACGAGCAGAATTAATCAAATTTACTCGTTTTTGAAATACGGGTTAAAACAAATTTGTGTAAGAAATTATTTATTTAATCAATAATATGTCTTTTTATTTTTTTATTTGAATTTTATTTTTGAATTTTAATTTATTATTTAATTATATTTTTTTAAATTTTCATTTATTATTTAATTATATTTTTTATTTTATTTTTGTTAAGCAAAAAGAACTCGAATATGGAAAAATGGTGCAATACATAAAATTAAATTGAAAATTCGATTTTTATTTTGCGCGCGAGCCCCAAAAGAAAATATTACCAGTTATTGTAATATTTACCTGCATAAATCGAGTATTTATTTCTTGACTGTTTATATATATACAGAAAAATATATGAAACAAATATATCATGAATTTTTAGATTGTCTAGTAATTAAGAATTGAATCTCGAAACTCTCCGCTTTCAAAAAATGTAATTGCAAACAGAAAAAAATTTTTTTCTTTGAAACGGAGTGTATCGCATTTAAGAATGATCCAGGTCTGGTAATTTGAAAAAAAAATACTCAAAAAACATCGTTTTTTTTAGAAAATTTTCCACCCAATTCTTTCTTTACTTTGAGCGTGAAGAAAAAGTGAAAAAAAATAATTGTTGCATATAATAAACAAATATATATATATATTTGTCTATTATATTCCGGATATTGTAATATCAAATTGTGTATTAACGCTAATGTACCTTCGCTTCGAGAATAAAAAAAAAATTAATAATTACTGTTGTAATCTATAGACGTTTTCGTCCATCGATAAAAGAGGATTTCAAAGGTATAAAATAAATATTATAATAAGTCTCGCTTTTGATGTTTTTTGAATGAAGAGGGGAAAGAGAAATTAAATTAAAGCGCATATAAAAACAAAGTATTATAATAAAATTAGAAACTCATTTTCACTTATAGCGGATTATTCTCATATAATAATAAAATAGAAAATCAGTATTATTTTTATTACACACTTTTTATTTTTGAAAGAAAAGAATTCAAAAAATGGAAAAATGTGTACAGTATGGAAAAAAACAGCCTAAATACGTAAATAATTGTTCCCCTTGTACAAAAATAGTTGAATCTTCTTTATTTGGTGAATATATTTTTTATCAAATATTAAATTAGTATTTTTCCTCCTAAGTGAAAATGAGTTGAAAATAAATGCCGAAAATCGAATATGTATTTTTTAGAGTGCAATTTTCAATAACGCACACTTTTCGTAATATTCGAGGTATTTGGGAGAAAAATAAAAATTTGTACTTATTTTTCCCAAAAAGACGCGACACCGTTACTTATTCTTTTTTTTATACAAATGAATATTTATTCAAATTCTTTTAATAATGGTGTCAAAAATTTTCACAGAGATTTTCTGGAATTGATTGTGTATTTTTCTTTGTGCGCATATAAAGAAAATGTGCTTAACGTTCTAGTACCTGAGAATTATTTTCTACTTTACTGAATTGCATTTTTTTTTTCTCTTTTTTGTAATCTCAGAGTGCTTAAGGGACGGTTTGCATCCGCCTATTTCGGCACTTGCCACAATTTATAAATTAATCTATATTATTAAATAAATAAATAAAAATATATAGAAGAGCAGAAAAAAAATAATAAAACGCAAGTGCGATGGATATAAAATTTTTGTATAATTTTATATTTATCGTGCGCTCAAATGAATTTTGAAGAAATTATTATTATTGAAACACAAAAAAAGAAATTTAAATATACGGAAAAAAATGTTATTTAAAAGAAAAAAAAATAAATAAATAAGAGAATGTCTGCATCTACGTGAATGTAGCGTTTAGATAGATAATGTACCTATTACTATTTACTATAAAACATAAAAAGTACGCTAATTACCTTGTGAACTGTCTGTATTTATTATTTTACTATTTTCAATTATAAAATAGTAAATTTTTGACTATGCGGAGGAAGGAGTGTTTTTTAGTTTTTATTTTTCGATTTTTGGATAAATTCAGACAGACACTGGTACTTTAGTAAACACTGTTATTTGTCTGATTATCGTGTAAAGAATAATGAATAAAAAAAAACAAATGGTATATATATATATATACATAAATTTTATGTATTGTTTTCATAGTCCCAAAGTTTTCGTAAATTTTATTTTTATTTAATTTTATGTACGAAATAAATTTGTCAAATCTATTTTTAATTTTTCATTTTATAATTATTTTCGCAATTAAATTGCTTAAAAAGTTTATCGACAAAAAATAAACTTTGTTGAATTAAGTCGAATTTTTTTAATCTTAATTTGTTCAAATTATATAATTGATTAACATTTAAAATTCATTCAAATTTCCATTTAAATAAAAATTTGTATATAAATGTTTGAATAATTGTAATAGGTATTTATTGACGAAGACATTTAATTGATTATTACAATTATTGAATAAAAAACTTTAATCGACGTTATAATTTAAAATTCAAAAATATTTATAATTATTTAAATTTCAATTTATTCTAATTTTAGTATAAATGAAAACTCAATCAATTTTAAAAATAGAAACTTTCAATATTTCAATCTATTTGAAGATAAATCGATTCAAATTTTTCGAATTTTTATTTTTTCAAATTTCAAACGATTTCATTTTCAAAATTGATTCAAATTTCAATTTAAACAAAAATTAAAAAATTATTAAACGAAAATTCAATTGTTTTTAATTGATTTTAATTTCATTTTCAAAAACTTGCAACTAAACCGATTCAATTCTTTTGTAATTTCAAATAAATAAATAAATTGATTTAAATTCTTAAGATTAAGAAAATTTCAAGTAATTGATAATATTTTTATACTATTGAGTTATATTATAAAATCTTTTTTTAAATCCATAAGGAGTGAGAAAAATACTTAAAATAAATAAACTTAATAAAAGAAAATATGTAATTGAAAAAAAAGAATGGTAGAAATAAATACCTTGAGACTTGTTTCGTGTTTCGCTCATTTTTTTTTTTTTTTATTGAAACGGAATTTAGGAATTTGGAGGGAAATTCGATAATTAACGATACGATTTTTGATAGCGTGCTCTTGCACCTGGACCACCAAATTTCTTTGGCTCGCAACGCCTTGGATCGGCGACGAGAAGAGTCCGATCGTACTGAATTAAAATATCCTTTACTTCCTTTTTACTGGCCTCATCAACATCTGTTAAAAAAAAATTTATTAGAAAATTTTATCAGGATGCGACAGTTTCCGTTTTTGTTCCAATAGTCGTGCATTTTTTAACATATCTTTTATAATAATGTAAATCAATTTTTGTCTAAAAAAAATTTTGTTTAATAGTCTAATATTGTTGTCTTAGAATAATTATAATTCACAGTATTTTAAACATTATCAAAAATTAATTAATCTAAATAATTTTAATAAACAAATAAAATAAAGTATTTAAAATTGAATTATTATTTAGAAAATTAATACATGATTAAAGAAAAACAATACGACATTTTTGATAAGTTAAATAAAATACTAATTCTTGATTAAATTAAAGAAAAACTATATTTTTGTTAGCTCGAAAAATATTTGGAAAATAGTAGGTAATTTTTTTGAATACTAAAATTAAGTAGAAAAGTAAGAAAATGAAAGAAAAGAAATTGCAGAGAAATATAAAAATTTAGATTATAAATAGACTATAAATTTATATACATGTAAATATAGTAGAAAAATTGAAATGAAAAAAATTTTACAAACATTTCTGATAGTAGGAAACGAGTGCTTTGGAAATCGCCTGTCTGATTGCATAAATCTGAGCGACATGACCACCGCCATTTACTCTCACTCTAATATCAACTCCTGCAAATTTTTCCTGCGAAGAAGAATTTTTTTAAATTTCTCAATCAAAGATTATGTGAAATATTTAAGAGAATTTAATTTATTATTTAAAAATTTACTTTCTATAAATTAAAAATCGTGTTTTAAAAATAATGATTAATTCATTTGAAATCACAAAAATTAAAGTTCTAACTAATAAATAATGGGATCAATAAAAAATAAATAAATAAAAATATTTACCTTGCCAAGAAGTAAAATTGGTTCTTGAAGTTTGTACTGTAGAACACGAGGTTCTACCAATTCAAGAGGACGACCATTTACTTTTAAAATCCCACGTCCTCTTTTGCAATAAGCTACTGCAGTTGCGCTTTTCTAAAAAAAAATTAATATATTTTAGAAACAAACGAATAAATAAAACAAACGATTAATTCGAATTTAAAATTTCATTAATTTTAAAATTGAAAATATTTAAAAAGTTAGGAAACAAAAACGTAAACAACAGTTAACTTCAAAACTGCAAACAGATTACAGGAATATAACGATTGATAACGATTATTATAGTTAATTTTCGATAATTTATTTACACTTTAAAAGTAGAATAAAAAAATTTCCTTATGAACTGCATAAAAACCTGTCACATTGAATTTTACTTTTACAAATGAAACATTTTATTGGTTTTTTTTAAAATAGGTAAGTACATCTTCATTTACCCATCAAAATAAAACAAAAATATAAAATAGTTTATTTGTTTTTTTGTTATAAAAAATTAGACTTAAATAATTGTTGACACTTTCAAAGTTTCGCGTTTCAAGCATGGAAAACCTAACCTCAAAAACGTAAAGTTACTTACTTTGCGTCCGAAGACTTGAACGGAATGGATCGGTTCCCTTTGTTTCTGAAAAAAATAATCACTCGACAATTAATACAATTTACACGCTTTATAAATAATCCTACAAAATACTTAAACTTTCGCAAATCATTTACCTTTTGACTTTTCTCCATTTTTTCCATTTTGGAATTTGGATCAGAAAGAAATAAATTGAAGTTAGCCACGAGTAACAGTTTTTCGATTATCGCAATATTCGATTTATCGATGGAGCTGTTCTGACGTGTTACTGTATTCAGTTTGAACAGTTTGATTATGCATTGTGTGAAATATATTTATTTATTATTGCACAATATTACATTATTTCGGTGATACGCATTAATTAAAATTTGTTTGGTGTAATATTAATTATTTAACTAAAAATGGTAAGTTATTGACAGTTTAAATGTTATTAAATATTGAGAAAAATACTTTTTTTTAACTATTAAAATAATTCTAACCTCAACATCATAAATTATAGGCTCAAAATTTTCCCGGAGATATTCCAAATTCTTCTAAGGTACAAAATTCATTAAATTTATTGCGATTTCAATAATAATTTCATCTCATTCTTTCTCCATGACTCGTAAAACGAAAGTCTGTAAATTTGTTTCAAAAACATTTTTTGAGGTTATGTTTTCGCAATATTTTCTTTACTTGCGCAAATGGCACAAATTGTAAAAAATAGTTGCATTTACTTCAATAATTTAGAAATACTGCTGTAGATTATTTTATTATTATTCAATTATCCTTTTTTTAAGATTTCGTCACTTAAATATATTTTTTAAGAAAAGTTTCTTCTTCGCCACTTTTGTGATTGCAATTCTTTTTGTTGACTACATGCAATAATTGTATATTAAGTGAAAAAAATGACAAATTGTTATGAATATTTAATTATAAGTGAAAATTAATATTAAAATACTACAATTTTTAGTAATTTGATTTCATTTAAAATAGTAAATTGAAATTTTTTCTAATATTTCATTATCTTCGTAAAGGTAAAATTCTGATTTCTCTATTCAGACAATTGTTGAAAAAAATTTATAATTTATTTACAGAGTAGTATTATTGCTGCCGGATTGGGTCTTGCGGTTGTTGGATTCACCGGTCGTTATATTTTAAGACGAATGCCACAATTGTCACAAAAAATGACTGAGGCTATGAATGCTTTACCCAAAATTGATGCACAGGTGAGATTTATTTTGTAAATTAAGTTATGTACTTTGTAAATTAAGTCAAAAAATTTTTTTTTTCTTTGAAACATTTATTTTATTGACAATAAAATTATTTTTCTTTCCATTTTTTGAACAATTGAGTTCAGAAATCAGGGAAATACAAAATTAATTTTTTTGTGACAACACTAAATTAAATAAACGACTTTTTCGACAAAAATAAATAATTCATAGAATAATTATTTTTAAATATTGCAACTGTACCTCTTTATTGAGTTTTTGAAATTGAGGTTAAATTTTCTTACTCCACTTATTTTATTATTTACAAATTAACTGTCAAACTTTTGACAACAATTCGAAATATTAAAACAAAAAATTGGAATAAAACAACACTAAGTTCACGTGAAAACAGATTATGTCGATTTTTTTTTAATATAATTTTTTGCAGAAGTTAACATATTTTTCTAAAGATTTATGTAATGAATTTAATGAATAATGTAATAAATTTAATTAATTTTTGAATTTTCCTTCTACAGTAAAATTATTTGATTTTCAGACATTGGCAAATAGTAAATATTATAAAGGTGGCTTCGAGCCAAAAATGAATAGAAAAGAAGCGAGTTTAATATTGGGTGTCTCGCCAACAGCATCGAAGTTAAAAATTAAAGATCAATTTAAAAAAGTAATGATAGCAAATCATCCGGATCGAGGCGGTTCACCTTATATTGCTGCAAAAATCAATGAAGCTAAGGATCTTCTAGAAAAATGAATTTTGTTATTCCAATTGATCGTCGAATTTAGGTAATGTCCTTATTTTTTTTTTGTTTTACCCCATTGAAATTTTTATTGTGACAAAAGTTACAGATTTTAAAGAAATCATTGAAAATTACTTGTAAATAATCTATAAAGTACATTTTAAGTAAAACGACTTGATCTTTTCTTTCCCAAATAAAAAAAGGGAGATTAGATTCTAAAAGCGCCTCTACTCAGAGAAGAAAAATACGCATTTTTCAATTTTTATAGAGTATTTTATTTATAGATTCAAAAATTGTTTCTAGGAAACGAATATAATATTCAAATATTGAGCCTGCTCATTAATTAACAGTCTTTAATACTGAAAAATATATCGCGTTCGAAAAATTTTTTACTAATTAACACATTTTATTTTTTAATCTAGAAAATTTCAGATTTAGGTGATTTGTAATTTTTTTCAAAAATTGACAATTTTTTTCTGTTTGAAATTGAAGCGAAGATTTTTGATAATTCAAAATATAAATTCTTTTAAAGGGGATTTTTTAAAGTGAAAGCTTTTTTTTAAATATTCACATAAATCTGAAATATACATTTTATACATTTTATTTCACGCAAATTTAACAGTTTTCTTATTTTAAAACTAGAGTAATGATAAAATCAGTGTTTCTAGAAAAAAAAACTAAACACACAGGTAATTTCAGTTTTTGTTCAATTTATAAAAGCAGAGTAAAAATCTAAAAGAAAAGGAAATAAAATTCCTTCTGAATAATTACAATCTTCAGGTAAAATACTGTAGAGAAAATTTTACAAAACAAATGGAAGAGATTTATTTCTAATTCTATTTTGATAAAAAATATTTTGTTTAAAAGATTAAATCAGTTAAAATTATAACTTTTGTAAAATTTTCATATTTCAACAGAAAACTTGAAATATTACACTCACAACAAATTAATTACTTTTTGAAACCCCAATCCTATTTTTTAGCCCAAAAAAAAACCCAAAAACAAAACCTATTTTAATTTATTCTATGGCTCCCTTTTTTCGTCAGTTTCTTTTTAATTCCACTCCGATTAGTGACAATGAATATTATTAAAAATTGTAATCGTCATTTCATGAAAATTGACGAAAGATTCAGCTAAATAGTGGATTCATTTTTCTTTTACGTATATAGTAATTGACTCCTCTTTTTTTCTTTACAAAAAAAAAGTATACAGTATAATATTTTAGGCAAAGCTGCACCAATTTGATTTTTTTTAATATTGTCCATTTGAACAATATTAAAAAAATATATTAAAATTTTTATGTGTAAATACACGAACAATGACTAGATATGATAAAAACATGATTCGGTGGATTTGTAGATTTTTTTTATACAAATATTATCTACTTAATCTCGCTTTTTTGAGAACGATTCGCCTTTCGGTGGTTCTTGTTCTTAACTTAGTAATTGCCCTGCGAGGTAGAGATCCAGGCTCCTTGAAAATGCTCTGAAAAATAATTTTTTGAAACTATTATTAATATTTTACTAAGATTTTGAACATTTAAATGAACAAAATTTTTTTCTATCTAAATTGAAATTAAATTTCCATTTTATTGTAGGTACAATAATAATAGGCTATGTACTTATTTTTTAATTAATTTATTGAAAATGAATAAAATCATTAAATTCTTGCAAAGAATTCTATTCAAATTTGGAAAATAACTAAATTCCTTAGAAGAATTTTATTACTTATGAAAATAATTGAATTCTTGAGAAGAATTTTATTAAAATTTTTGAAAATGCTATTTAAATTCTTTTGAAAAATAGAAATTTTTTAAAAGAATTTAATTAAGATTTTCAAAAATTTTAATAAAATTCTTAAAAAATAATTCTTTAAAAGTTTCATTAATAATTTCAATTGAAAATTAAGAAAGTAATTGAATTTTATGAAATATTTCTTACAAGTTTTTAAAATAATTTTGTTAATAATTGAAATTCAACATTTAATTATTGAATTTTATTAAAATTTTTAGAAAATAATTAAATTCTTTCTTAGAATTTTATTAGATTTTTTTTTAAATAATTTAATTCATTTCAAGAAATTTTATTATAATATTAAAAATAATTGAATTCTTTCGAAGAATGGATACTGTTAAAAGTTTAAAAAAAATGTAAGTTGGTAAAAAATATTTTCTATAATTTTTTTTTAATAGTCAAATTCTTAGCAAAAAATTTAATTATTTTCAAAAAAAATTCCACGAAAGAATTCAAATTTTTCTTAATTCGTTATAAAATTTTTCAATAGAATTCAATTTTCTAAAATTTTTTAAAAAATTCAATAATTTAAATGTTTAATTTCAATTATTAAGAAACACGATTATTTTAAAAACTTGATAGAAATTGTTCATAAAATTTAATTCTTTTCAAAAATTTTAACTAAAATTATTAAGCAAACTCCATTATTTTAAAAAAATTCAAAGAAATTCTTCAAAAAGAAATTAATTAGAATTTTCAAAAATTTTATCAAAATTCTTCGCGAGAATTCAATAATTTTTCTAAATTATAAAATTCTTCGAAGGAATTCTTTTATTATTAATTTTTTTGATAAAATTCTTTGCAACAATTCGATGATTTCCAATACATTAATTTAGATATAATTAAGATAAAGATTTTACTATTAAATTTTATTAAAATTATTAACAAAATCGAATATATTCAAAAAATTAAATTCTTCTAATCAATTCTATTAGAATTTTTGTATTTTAATTAAATTTTCTGAAAAAATTTCTTTAAGTATTTGAAAATAATGTAGTTAATAATGTAGTTAATAATAATAATAATAATAATAATAATAATAATTTTTAAAAATAATTTTAATTGAAAGTTTTGAAAATAATTGAATTTTTTAAAGAATCTTTTTCAATATTTTAAAATAATCGTATCAGTTAATAATTGTAATTGAAAATTTTATTAAAATTGTTTTGAAAATTATTGAATTCCTGAGAAGAATTAGAAAAATAATTTGATTCTTTAATTGCTATGAATTTTATTATTTATAAAAATAATTGAATTTCTGTGAAGAATTTTGTTAAAATTTTTCGAAAATAATTGAATTCTTTCAACAAATTTTATTGTTTTTGAAAATAATTGAATTCTTGTGAAGAATTTTATTAAAATTTTTGAAAATAATAAACAATAGTAATTAATTATGTACTTAGTAAGTGAAATTTTTAATATTTGCATTTGAAATTACTTAAAAATTGAAATTAATATTTGAAAATAAAAAATGTTGTAAATTACATAATAATTTACTAATAAATTAATAAATTTTTAAAAATATTTATTAGCAAAATTTAACTACTTCAAAATATTAAGTTAGAATTTCGTTAATTTAATATTAAAACATTTGAAAAGAAAAAATATTTAAAACATTAGAAATTCAACATTTGCTTTGTTGAAAATGATTTTTTATTAATATTTTTTGATAAAATATAAATTCAAAGTTGTAAAAAAAATATCGACGTTAATTTGAACGTTCAAACTTTAGAGACATTTATTAATTTAATTGTTGATTTTCGAATTAGTTATTAAAAAATTCATAATTCAAAATAAAACTTTATTAAAAAATAAAAAATTGAAACTGAAAAAATATACGCAAATTGGAAAGAGTATAAACAATTAATTTATATTATAATTATTATAGTCTTTTTAGTTTTCAAATATTAACATTTTTCGACTTTTTTTTAGCGAAAAAATTATGGAAAAAAAATTTTGTTATTAAAATTAAATCTATTTTTTAATAGAAAAAAGTGTATATTTCCAAAAGTACCTGCATAAAGTCATGGCAATGTAGGACGATACTGTCTTTTGTAATTTCCTTAAAACAACCGGCTAATACTGCAAAATCTTGACAGGCTAATAAATTCTCTTTATTTCTCTTTATCAATGTTAAGGCGACTCTAAATATAATTTTGCTACCTTCGTAAAACAGGCAGTCCCAAATTCTCAGAGTTGTCTGTAAACAACATTTTTTAATTTTTAGTATAATTTATAATGAATTAATATTATTTAAAATTATTAGGCCGCATTTATTAAAAAAATTATTGCAGAAAACAAATATTTCTTTTTTTAGCAAAAAGCAAATATTATTTATAATAATCCATTCTGAGTTTATTTTGTGAAATAAATTTTAGTTTTTACCTCGATTGGCAGAACTTCGGCAAATAAACAGATGAACCATTTTGTGGCGATCACAGCCCAGGGTAAACCCAAATCAGTAATATGCCGATGCACATCTGGCATTTTAATTCTAAAATTTCATTAGAAACATTTTCCATTAGAGATTTAAATAAATTAAAATTTTAATTATTTAATTTATTTAATTTTAATTTACCTGACTAATTCTTCTAAGACATCAATGTCCGTTAATAAACCGTCCATAGTTGGAGTATAATAATCAGGTAGAATATTTTCGATCAAAGCTTTTAGAAGCCAAAAAGCGGTTTCTTCATTTTTCGTCACTAGAAATAATAATCCTGCTATGTAATTCAGTCCCTAGAAGAGAAAATAGAATTTTTATTCATTTTTTCCTTATCGTAAACTTCATTTTCTTTTCAATTTCAGAAAAAACGGAAATTTAAAAATATTAGATTAATTTTTGGTAGATTTGTTTTTGAAAGGCATTGAAAAGACGGAAACAGGTGTAAATTTATTTAGAGAGATTATTGGGGAATATAAATTAAAAATTTATAGAAAAAAAACTTACTTGGCAGTAACCAACGTCTTTGTTTTGATGAGCAAAAGCGAGTAAAATATTATAAAGTTGAAGTTGATAGGCTTTTGTGTTATTGAAGAAAATGTTGTCGGGAAAAGTTCGAGGAAGATCTGTTCTTATAATTTCCGATATTTCTGAATTATGTGGACCGTCTAACAAATGTTGATATAAACCTGGCGTTGCATTCTTTAATTCTTCGCCTCCACTTACAATCAACCAAATCTGTGAATTTAAATAGTCAATATTAAGTTTATTTGGAAATTCTTATTAATACTAATTAACTCTTCTTACTAATTATAATTCTCTTCTTATTAATTTTAATTATCTAGGCTTCGTACTCGACAATTAATAATAGTAGATATTAAAAATCATTGAATTACGAAAAATTTGTGAAAATAATTGAATCGTTTTAAAGAATTTTATATGTAAAATAAAATTTTTTGAATTTTTTCCAATAACTTTTTTAAAATAATTTTTTTTTATTTCAACTGTTAACAAATTAAAATTATAGTGTAAATTCTCAAGCATGGATAAAAGTATAGCTTTTTGTTTAAAAAATAAAAAAAAGTATCCAAATAGTAGCAAATCGTAAAAAAAGTAGTAAATAGTAGGTTTTACTAGATGAGTCCGAGGCCTGAATTAACTCTTCTTATTAATTAAGAACAAAAAACGTTAATTAAATTGAAAAAAACATTTATTTTACCAATGCTCTGTGTTCGCCAGGAATTCCTTTTCGGACAAATCGTTTTAATGTTGCCGTTCGTCGAAGATGTTTTCCACTTCCAATTATTTCTGCCCATTTTTTAGCTCTCTCCGCTAAAACCTTTAAATATTCCGACATAAAATCTTCATAAGTTTGATAATCAAACTCTGATGGTCTCTCGAATCCATATTCGTCCACATTGCTATTTAAATGAAAAATAAGTAGGTATTTAGTTTATTTTTCATGATTTATCAAGAATATTTATTCTTGATGAAAAACCATTTTTATTCCGTGAATTATTCTTTCTTTGAAAATATAAAATATACGAGTAAAAAAAGTGACAGATGAAAAACGAATTTCAGAGAAAATGAACTTTTACGAAAATTTACAACAATGTTCCATTGAATTGAATAGGTAACAATTAAAATAGTGTCGAGTGGATTAATTTACGAATTAATTTTACCTGAAACATGAAGTGGCCATTCCATAATTTGCGTTAAACTGAATGGAAATAAAAATACAACACAGGTTTAATCAGCTGATTAGAAAATTCCTTCGAGTGATACAAAAAGAATATTCTCGATCTGGACGGAGAAACGAGAGAACCTCGAGAATATTCTCGTCATTCTAAAAAATTTTAGGTTATAATTCTAGTGAATCCAGTGAAGCAATTTTTACATACAATTTTTACGAGTTCAATTTTAATGTAATTTTTATATTTCATTAAATATTCGGTAATTTACCTTGTTTACTAAAGCGACTTTTACATATTTTTATGTATTCAATTCGTAGAAAAGTTTATTTAAATTTGGGAAATTTGGGTAAAAAATTTAAAAATTAAAAGAAAAGGAATTTTAAGTGTTCTACTGTCGGTAAGTGAGAAAACGGTAATTATCAAAATTCCCCAACGGCAAATTTCCCCAAGCGGCGTTTGACCCAATATGCTATAGTGAGTGGTGTTTTCGAGGATGTTATAGAAATCTGTAAAAATGATAAAAAATGTAGTTCTGAGAAGTCCGCGAGATGCCGATATTGTCTCCGTTTGTGTGTTTATAAAATTGACATTGTCGTAGATATTTGGAGAATTCAGAAAATAATATGAGTGGTGATTCAATAAATAAAGTGTTAAATTATTAAAATTAATTAATTAATTAGTATTAACAATCAATGTTATAATTATGTAGTGTTATATATTAAAATTTTGTATAATGAACTGATTAATTAATTAATTAATTATTTAATTGAGAAGTGACGGAGTTATTGCCTGTCTTAATTAATTATGCGAGGATTGAGTGCCAACAGTTCTAACGAAAAAAAATAATGAGAATAATAATGGATACCAATTTTGAGGTTAGTTATTTTGTAAAAACTTATGTTTGATGAACTTAGATATTTTTAAGCTTTGGGAAAAAAAGAAATTTTTTAATACACGATGCTTACACGATTTTCGCCAGGAAATAAAGTGCATTCAGTGGCGGATCCGGGGGGGTCATGGGGGTCATGACCCCCCCCCCCCCCGCGGCGAAAAATTTACATAAAAAAAGGTCAGCTAATTATGGTCGTTGCTCGCCGGATCTATAAATGACCCCCCCCTGGAATAAATTCTGGATCCGCCACTGAGTGCATTTCCACTTTTTAATAATAAATTACCATAATGACATTGCAACAGTTTCTGGAAGGGGAAAAATGTTAAGATGCTTGGAGTTACGTTTGATAGATATAAATAATTAAAAAGTTAAAAAAAAACAATTTTTTTTTTCAATTTTACAATTAGAGCCGATTAGAGCATTATCTACTAAGAAGTACCCAGTGAGAAATTGCCAATAGACTTTAATCGGTCCAATATCGGTCCAATATTGGTTGCCGTGCTGGGCGCCGATTGACTCCCAATATTGGACCAATATGGGCTGATGCTTGGGATGTAACGGCATCGCCAATCATCGGTTGTTAATATTGGTCCAATATTGGCCGAATATTGGCAACCAAGAGAAAAAATTTTTTTAAATAAATTTTTTTTAATTAAATAATAATAAAAAAAAATTAATGTTTATAATTTTTTTGTTTAATTATTTATTTTTAATAATTCATGTAAATAATAAATAATTTATTATTTATAAATTATAATTATTTAAAAATGCAGCAGCTATTAGAAAATAGCATTCTGCAAAAAAAATTCTATCATTGAAAAATCAATGATAGGCGAGAAAAATCCGCGTCTTTAAATAGATTCGCAGATGATAGACAAGAGATATCCGCGTCATTAAACGGATTCGCAGATATACTCTGGTCTCGCGACGAATCTCTCGATACTTATATACACTGGAGTCGCCGTGTCAGTTGCGAGAACGGTTACAGCGTCCCTCTTGCGGCAGAGATAAGAATTGTCACGTTAACTGCTAAATCGCTTTACCGACGGCCTTATTTTACCCGCAGTTTACGTGACAATTCTTATCTCCGCCGAAAGAGGGACGCTGTAACCGTTCTCGCAACTGACACGGCGACTCCAGTGTATATAAGTATCGAGAGATTCGTCGCGAGACCAGAGTATATCTGCGAATCCGTTTAATGACGCGGATATCTCTTGTCTATCATCTGCGAATCTATTTAAAGACGCGGATTTTTCTCGCCTATCATTGATTTTTCAATGATAGAATTTTTTTTGCAGAATGCTATTTTCTAATAGCTGCTGCATTTTTAAATAATTATAATTTATAAATAATAAATTATTTATTATTTACATGAATTATTAAAAATAAATAATTAAACAAATAAATATATTAAACAAAAAAATTATAAACATTAATTTTTTATTATTATTATTTAATTAAAAAAAATTTATTTAAAAAAATTTTTTCTCTTGGTTGCCAATATTCGGCCAATATTGGACCAATATTAACAACCGATGATTGGCGATGCCGTTACATCCCAAGCATCAGCCCATATTGGTCCAATATTGGGAGCCTTTATTGGACCGATGATCGGTCTCTTGGCTCCCAATATTGGACCGATATTGGACCGGTGAGAAATTTCTCACTGGGTAGGAAAAGTAATTTAAAATGTTTTAGGCACGGAATAAAAAAATTTTTCAGCCTGTTAAAATTTATACGTAACTGTCTTAGATAATTTCAAAATTGGTGTTTCAGTAAATTTTCTTTAACAGAAATAGTTTGTGTATCTTATTATTAAATAGGGAAAAAAGAGTTTCTGGGAAGGAACAAAGTTCTATATTGATAGGACAGGCTATATTTTTTTCAAATATGGATTGTACAGAGTTGCTACTAGCAAGTTTAAAAGTGGAATCCAAAAATTGTTAACAGGGAGCAAAGTCGTCCAACAATTTGTTAATAATAATTCCTCAACCTAATAAGTTTGAAGATTAAAAAAATTTAAAACTTTCAATTTATAAAGGACAGGTAACTCTTTTATCTCACGCAAATTATACATTCTTTTTACTACTAGCAACAAACAAATTAAAATCCGGGAGGCATGATTATTCCCCAAATGTCATTTTTCCGAAATGTCATTTTACCGAACTGCACTTTTGCGAATAGTCATTTTTGCGAAAAGCCAATTTTGCGAAATGTCACTTTTGCAAATTGTCATTTTTGCGAAAAGCTATTTTTGCAAATTGTCATTTTTGCGAATGGCCATTTTTACGAATTGTCAATTTTCCGAAAAGTCATTTTTGCGAATTGTCATTTTTATGATTTGCCATTTTTGCGAATTGTCATTTTTGAGAAATGCCATTTTTGCGAATTGTCACTTTTGCGAATCGACATTTTTACGTATTGTCATTTTTGCGAATTCGCAAAAATGACTTTTCGGAAAATTGACAATTCGCAAAAATGACTTTTCGAAAAATTGATAATTCGTAAAAATGGCGTTTCGCAAAAATGACTTTTCGGAAAATTGAAAATTCGTAAAAATGGCGATTCGCAAAAATGGCAATTCGCAAAAATAGTTTTTGGAAAAAGTGACATTTTGCAAAATTGGCTTTTCGGAAAGTTCCAGGTCAAATTTTTAGGTAATTCCAGTGGAATTTTAAATTTAATTTCCACGTCGTAAAATATATATTATATCTTAAAATTTCTAATTGAATTTCTATTGAAGAAAAAAAATGGAAAACAGGAAAAATTTAGAAACTTTTAAAAATTCCAGGCCTTTTCCATGATTTCCCTGATTTCCAGAAGCCTTTTAAAAATTCCATACCATTTCCATGATGTCCAGATTCTGTAGGAACCCTGTCTTCTCTTCTTATAAATGATGTTCGGCAGTGGATCCACTTCTCCCAGCACATCAAAGAAATCAAAGACATTTGGCAGTGGGCCCGCTTCTCCCAGCACATCAAAGACATCGATGATGTTCGGTAGTGGACAACCATCGGCGGGGATTATTATTATTATTATTTATTATTATTTTATATTATAATATTATTAATTTATTATTAATTAATATTATTAATTGGTTAATAATTAATTTATTAATAATTATAAATTAGTTAAATTTTTAATTAATAAAATAATTAATTAAATAATAATAATAATAATAATTAAAGCAAATAATCAGTCGAGCTGTCCAGTTATTAGACATTATTGCAGTGACATCGACACGACAAACTTAGAAATATCATTAAAAAAATTAGACATAAGTTATGTCTAGCAAATATCAAATTCAACTTGAATGTTTGACGAAGAGGGTTGGTCAGTAACTTCACAGTTATTTACCAGTCTGCCTAGAATCAGCGTCCGTGACAAAAACTGTCCAGTAACTTGAACAATCGAGTCGCTCCATGACAAATTTCTACTTGGGTTACATCCCATGTTTCTAAGCATCACGCATTTGCGAAGGATTTATTTTCAAAGGGAATAAATAATGAAACATTTTTTCTCGTAATATAAATTTTCTTTACTTATGTAAGCTTTTCGCATGCAATTGCCATATCATAATGTTGCCAAGAATTATTTTTTATCTTCCTTCTCATTTTTTTCTTGTTGTTTGCTCATTTTTATTATTACTGTAAAAATACAAAAAAATTATTAAAGTATTTTAAATATTTATTTTTACGAACGAAATTACGAACAGTAGGGTAGCAACGTCAGTTGTGTTTTGTAGTAGTATTACATTGGACATTTTTAACCATATAAGGTAGTGGTTCTTAAAAATATTTCATAAAAAGCGAAAACTGACTGTGATATCCAACTATTACTTCATTATATAAATTTCATTATTACCATACTCTTTTGCCTTTAAAATTTTGAGTTTTGGGACTGGTTTAATAACTGATTCATACCTGCTCGATGAGAAATCACTTCTTCTGCACCACTTTTTAGTGTTGATGACGCTGATGCGATTTTTTTCGAAATCGGCGCCAATGTAGTTGGTTCTTCAACTTTGAAAAATGTCAAAGAACGTTTATTTGATTTTCATTTTTAGTAAAACTCAAGTTACTACTAACACAAAAGACTTTAAAATTAAAAAAAAATTTATGACTTTTCTAATCCGATGGAAATTTTAGATATCCTTTGTTGATATTATTTATCATTTTATTTCGAGGAAGATCTGCGTTGGGTTTTGTAACGGATGATATACAGTTATTACACTTTGTCCACTTCTCAATTTTTCTGCATATAAAGCCTGAAAAATAGGCTTGCACAAATTCATTTGTCCCCATGACGCTATAATATCATGCTCGTGTCTGACTGTAAATTCCGTCTCATTATTTTCACCACGCTCTATTATTAAATTCAGGGCTTCTCTCCAATCTTCTTTATTCTTATTTGTTTCTGAATCCTTTTCATTTAATAGGGTTTCGAAAATTTCTATTCCATCTACATTAAAATCTTTAGGAGGTTTAATCAATAAGTAAAAGCTCACTAGGCGATATACTTGTATAAACAAAAGTGGATCAGGATTATCGTGTTCCCCACAGCATCCTCTAATAATTCCGAACATATCCTAAAAAAATTATCAGGAGAAGGTAAACAAAACGTATAATAAATTTTTTTTATCACATTATTTTCATGATACAATATGTTACTCATAAAAATTCCCAACCTCAAGAGCATCTTGATTAAGACGTGCAGTCATTAAAAAAGTATAATCACAGTATTCGCATAAAAATTTCAACACCTCAATGCTAGATATTGATGTTACTACAAAGCCGACTTTAATTTGTAATTAAAATAATTTTCATTTATAATAATTGTAAATCTACTTACTACGACACTCATATCTTCTTTTACCAAAATCGATCGAATAATTATACACGATTGATCTCCCATGTACGCAAAAAGAAGACGACTTAGAAAACACTGCAATGTCCCTTGAAATCCAATCTTTTACCAAATCAATTAATGTATAATTTTTTATGACTTTTTCCGTTATTACATTAGAATTGTGAGAAATAGTGGGTTCATGTAATGGAATAGAATCCTGAAGTGTCATAATGTGATTTGCAATATCAACTTCTCTACGCGATCGAGGTGACAATTCTATTTGCTTGATCGCATTTTGTGGACGATGTAACAATTCTTGTTTATTCACAGGATCTACCGGATCTACAAGATGTGAGATTGGCGGTGACGAGGACTCAACATCTGACTGCATGGAAAATAAATTTTATTTTAAACAATTTTTTTTACTTATATATAAAAGAATAAAATTTTGCTGTGACATGACAGTTACATTCCCATCCTTCAATATTTCTCTCGGATCATGTTTAAGACAATCTTCTGTGAAGTGTTGCTCACAAATGAATAAACACTTCTTGACTCGATTGCCTCTTTCTCTCTTGAGGTTATCTCCCATAGCTTCTAGCCACATATGTTTAGATTCCTTAATAAAGAACATTCTTATTTTAATAATTAAAGTTAGAGAAAAATCAAGATACAAATTTATTTATGTTCATTATTTTTTTTTATTTTAAAATAGATACTTACCTCACCTCCTGTTTCTAGTCTTCTTGGACCTTGAATAAGAATTTTTTCTTTTATAAAATATTACCTCCATTTATAAAGGATTTGTGAGTCTCTAGACAATTATCTTTTATCGTGGTACACTTGGTCAAGAAATTCATAATTATTTCTTTACGTCCCCTCTGTGTCTGGAATTCGCATTCTGACAAATTTTTCCATCCTTCTTTGATGATGCCTTCTCGTCTCTTCTCCTTTTCAGACAATCGCCTTTGAGAACTACTATTCCTTTTCCTCTGTTCATAATCTAAGTGCGTATTCTTGATAAACCTAACTAACGAATCTGGAATATGTAAAAGTGAAATTCAGTTTTGTTTATACTGTTTTGTCTTATTTATAACAAATGTTTTTTAAGCTAATATTCTATAAAAATTTCTATTGATAAAATTTCTTTTCCACCATATTACTATTGGATAAAATGTTCAGTCGACCAAATGATTTTTCGATTAAATGTCCTTTCAACCAAATCGCTAAATAGCATACAACATACCGGTGAAGTCTACAAATCGTGGATGATTTCCTACGAATTCATGCCACGATCGATTATTCCGCTCTGTATCGTTGTTCGTCCTCCTCTTCTCCCTGCAGACTGAGAAGTTCGCAGGAGTTGTTATCCTCAGCCAATGTCGACGAAAATATCCAATGAAATCGTCGAGAATTGATAACACGGATGTAAACGTATGTTCTGTGCCACGAAGAAGAAGAAGAACCTGATCCTCTGAAGTCAAGTCCTTAAGCAATTCTTCGAAAATTGTTTCTATATTTTGTGCAGGCAGAAGGGCCAAGTACTTCACTTTTTCCACAAACTGTTTAATGGACTTATACGCCTTCATATAATTTTTGGATTGTAATTTGTTACTCGTTAGGAGTAAAAAAGTATAATTCACGTGAGTTAAAAAAATTACCTGTCCTTTAAAAATTTAAATTTTACACTTTCGAAAATCTTCAAACTTAGGAAGAAGTACAATTATTATTAACAAATTGAGGAGTCGGGAAGAAGAACTCGCCGAGCGCTCCACTGCACACGCTATTGCTAGTCAAGCGACCCAAAATGTTCAAAAAATTAAAATTCAAAATTTTGATTTTTAAATTATACTTCCTTGTAGAAAACAGAAATGCGCATCTTTTTTCCTTTGACTTTTTTTATAGGATAAAAATTGTAGATAATAAATGGAAAAAACTAAAAAAAATTTTTATCAATTTAATTAAATTTTGAACCATAAATCGTCGTATCTTTGACAATTATTAATGAAATCACTTAATATTTGGTATGCACACTTATTAGGATACATAAAAGACTACGAAATAAAGGAATTTTGAAAAATCATTAATTTGTTAATAACAATTAATTATAAATAGTAAACGGTCGGTAATAGGGTTTTCTTACCTTCGACGAAAAAAGTCTGTGGGGAAATTTGAAGTTGAAAAACTTTCAGTGAGACATTTGCTTATCATAATATAAGGAATTTTTCTGGAAATTTGCAAACTAATTCATTCATAAGTTTCGAAAATATAAGCGTTTTTCGAAAGAGCGGGTGACGCGCTACCGCGTCTACACGTGGAGAATGATTAAAAGTATATCTTGAATGAACGTGGAACGATCAGGGCTGTTTTATTACTTACTGCTTCAATTTAAAACAAAACTTTAAATATACATATATATATAATTAATAATATTTTTATTTTACTTAAAAATTCAAAAATTTAGAAGTACAATAATTTTAAAAAAAGTGAAATATTTGTTCTACAGTTTCATTATTGTCTTGTCCTTGAGCCGTCCTTCAAATGTAAGCAGACGATTTTAACCGTTTATTTTTTATTTTTCGAGACGTTTCTAGTGAAACAGTAATTATAATAAATAAATATATATATATATATAACTATTATCGTTTTTTAAATAAAACGTGTGACAGGGTGGGTGTAATTTTTATAAAATATTAAACAATGAAATAAAGTAAAAGTTTTAAAACATTATTAATTTGACCAATAAAGGAAAAAAATTAAATATAATATTCTAACAGTTTTTTGTCTAAGTATTTTCAAATTATGAAAAAAATATTTTCACAGAAATTTTTTAAAAGTTTCTTTTTCTTAAGTACAACAATTTTATGTTATAAAAGATTAATTTTAAATAATATTTGTTTCCCTTTATCTGTTACAGTTTAAATACATACCGTATTTCTTTTTACCTTATTGACAGTTTTTAACCAACAATCTTCATTCCGAGTCCGTTTTCTTTGAATCATTCTCCACGTGTAGACGCGGTAACGCGTCACCCGCTTTTTTAGAAAAACGCTTATATTTTCGAAACTTCTGAATGAATTAGTTTGCAAATTTCCAGAAAAATTCCTTATATTATGATAAGCAAATGTCTCACTGAAAGTATTTTCAAAATCAAAATTCCCCACAGACTTTTTTCGTCGAAGGTAAAAAAACCCTATTACCGACCGTTCACTATTTACAATTAATTGTTATTTTACAAATTTTATTATCTACAGTTTTTATCCTATAAAAAAAGACAAAGGAAAAAAGATGCGCATTTCTGTTTTCTACAAGGAAGTATAATTTAAAAATCAAAACTTTGCTTCTGTCAAGCATTTTTGGATTTTTAACATTACAAAATTATTAATTGCTCTCGATGAAATTTCTTATCATCAATTACTATCTAAAATAAATAAGAATACAAAATTTTTAAATTGTATTTACATTTTCAAATCATAAAATTTTATTTGGATTATAGTGCGCATGCACGTTATAAAGAAATCCTGTTCCGGTTCCGCAAAGCTTGTTACTTACGAAATTGAGGTTAAGTTTGTTTTGTTTACACGACATTCCTGCAAGTTCAGTTCACAATTTTTATCTTTATAGTTGTGAAAATGAGATTCACACCTGATGATGTAGCTTCTGGGATTAAATCTTTATTTCCCAATGAAGCTACAGATACTCTTGTTGAAAGATTGAGAAAGGAATCGTACAAGAGAGAAAATTGTATTTGGTATCAGATATGTAAGAACTTCATGATAACCTATAGTGAAAGAACAGTAAAATTACATGTGCAAAGATGTTTTTACACTTATAAAAACAAATTTTTGGAAGTGAAGAAAATCCTTAGCGAAATGGAAGCCGCAAGGAATTAGGGAACGATAAGAAAGAAAATAAAAAGGTGGTCCTAAAAAAAAACAACAAAAAAAATGCCAAAAACCAAGAAGTGCTCTAAACAAACATCTAACGTTTGCACAATCGTGCTAAAAAAGAGATAAATATATAGGTATTTAGAAAATTAAAAAAATAAAAAAATTGTTAAATTAAAAAGATAAAAAAACAAAAAAAATTAATCAAAAAAAAAAACAAAAAAAAATATGGAATCATCTTCCGCCTCGTCCTCGTTCGTGACTCTGGGTTCGGCAAAGAGCGGATTCATCGAAATTTCAAAATATATATATATATATATATATATATATATATATATATATATATATATATATATATATATATATATATATATATATATTATATATAATATTCATACAAAAAATTATTTTTTAATAGCACATTATATACATAACACGCAGCTGAGCAATTCGGGACCTGAAGAAAATATCTTGATTCCAAATAATTGAAATTATCTCATTTTTTTAAGTCTCAGTTTCATCAAAATGTTCAATTTTTGGAAACAAATTGTCGGACATCTTTTCTCCCTTTCAAAACATTTTCGTTTGCACCCTTTTACTTGACATATAAACGCCTGAGCAATTCGGAGCCTGAAAAAAATTTCCTACTACCAAAAAATTGAAATTATCCAATTTTTCTAATATTCTCAGTTTGATCAAAATGTTAAATTTTATAAAAAAAAATTGTTGGACAACTTTGCTCTCTGTCGAAAATTTTTGGATTTTAATTTGTTTGTTGCTATATAGTAGAAAGAATGTATAATTTGCGTGAGATAATAAAATTACCCGTCCTTTATAAATTAAAAGTTTTAAATTTTTCTAATCCTCAAACTTATTAAGTTGATGAATTATTATTAATAAATTGTTGGACGACTTTGCTCCCTGTTAACAATTTTTGGATTCCACTTTTATACTTGCTAGTAGCAACTCTGTACAATGCATATGAGAAAAAAATATAGCCTGTCCTATCAATATAGAACTTTGTTCCTTCCCAGAAACTCTTTTTTACCTTTTTAATAATAAGATACACAAACTGTTTCTGTTAAAGAAAATTTACTGAAACACCAATTTTGAAATTATCTAAAGGCAGTTAAGTATAAATTTTAGCAGGCTGAAAAATTTTTTTGTTCCGTGCCTAAAACATTTTAGATTACTTTTCCTACTTCTTGTAGATAAGGGAGCGTTCACAAATGATGTCACGTAATTTTTTGGGATTTTAGACCCCCTCCCTCCCCCTGTCACGCAATTTCATGCAATTTCCTTTGTAAAAATACATTGATTGTTAATACTAATTAATTAATTTTAATAATTTAACACTTTATTTATTGAATCACCACTCATATTATTTTCTGAATTCTCCAAATATCTACGACAATGTCAATTTTATAAACACACAAACGGAGACAATATCGGCATCTCGCGGACTTCTCAGAACTACATTTTTATCATTTTTACAGATTTCCCTAACATCCTCGAAAACAGCACTCACTATAGCATATTGGGTCAAACGCCGCTTGGGGAAATTTGCCGTTGAGGAATTTTGATAGTTACCATCTGGAAGATTGTCGAAAAATTTCCTTCTTTAACAATGTACGATACGCTTTCCTTCTCACTCTCTTCCCCTTTCTCCCTCATTCTAGACAAACGTCAACATAACCTATAAATGTTAGGCAAAATGTCATCGAGAATATAATTCAACTTGTGCTTTTTATTTATTCACAATAATTGAAGTAAATAGAAACCTAGATTATAAATAAAATACATAATGGCGAACGATCGGGAAGTGTTGCGTGAAATATGGGAGGGAAAAATTCCCGTTTGCTTTCAATTAGACTCGGAAGAAGTGTCTGAACTTCAAGCTCCAGATCCATTTTATTTGATGGTGCCAAGACTAAGTTATTTTCCTCTTTGCACTGATAAGGTAAATAAAAAACTCACATGTCAAACAAGAATAGAAATTTTTCTATTTTCTTTACAATTTTGAATTATCAACATGAAATTTTTAGGTACGAAAACATTTTATGCGACATATTCAACAAGAGAAACAGGAAAATGAGATGTGGCTTGAATTTAATGGAACACCATTGAAATGGCACTTTCCCATAGGAGTACTTTTAGATTTATATTGTAACGATATTCAGTTGCCATGGAATATTGTTGTTCATTTCGATAAATTTCCAGAGAACGTTTTAATGCACTGTCAGAATAAGTATGAAATTTATTTATTTATCTAGTGTTTTAGTTTTCAATTGTACGTTAAATAAGATTAAGTCCTGAACGAAATGAACAAAATTTTTCTTTTCATTATTACTTTTAAATTATTTAATGAATAATTTTACTTAAATATTTCAAAATTAATTAAATTTTAAAAATAGTTGCGTTTATGATTTTCATGAATAGATGAACTTCAAAAGGTTTCAATTTGAAATTTTAGAAAATTTCAATTTTTAATTAATTTAAAAAGAAATTTTAATGAACTTTGATTTTTGAAAAATTCAATTATTTTTAAAAGTGATAAAATTCTTCGCAGAAATTCAATTATATTCAAAAATTTTTTTAAATTCTCGAAAATTCAAATATTTCAATAAATAATAAAATTCATTTTTGAAATTCAATTATTTTCATAAATAATAAATTCTTTTTAGGAATTCAATTATTTTTAGTAGTAATAAAACTCATCGCAAAATTATTTTTAACTGTAATTTTAATCGCATTCCTCGAAAAATGTAATTATTCTTAAAATTTTTATTAAGAATCGTCTAAGGAATTAAATTATTTAAAAATATGCTGATAAAATTTTTTTATAATATAAAATTTTCACAGGAATTTGATTATTTAAAATAAAATTTGCATAAATTAAAAAAAAAAATTTTTAATTTGTTATAAAATTCTTCGCACAAATTTCATTATTTTTATAAATTTGAAATTCTTAAAAATTGTATTGAAATTCGTCGAAAGAAGTTAATTATTATTTAAAAATTGGTTGATAAAATTCTTTGATATATTCAATTTAAAGAAACAGTCATTTATTCTTATATTTAAATAATTGAATTCTCGTAGAATTTCCTATTGAAAATTGATTTAAAAATTAATTTCAGTTAAATCTTTGGATAATTGAATGGGAGGCGCCTTTTTATTCTTTGAAACAATTTTTTAATTATTTTTGAAAGACAGAATTTTATTATGTTAAAAGTTTTCTTTAATCGAAATTTATTTTTGCCGATTTTTATTTACTATAATTTTTATTTTATCCAATTTCTATAAAACAAGAATTTTTTCATTTCATAAAAATTTTATTTGACAGAATTTGCATTACGTCGTGAATTTTTAGAAATAATTGAATTTTTAAAAGGTTTCAACTCAAAATTTTTGAAAGTCTGAATTTTTCATACTTTTAACTAACAATTCTGGAGAATTAATTTTTTTAAGAAGTTTAATTGAATTTTTTAAAAAATTATTTGAAGATTTTATTTTCTAATTAATATTTAATTGAAGAATTTCCGAATAATCGAAATTTCGTAAAATTTGAATACTTATTGTAAACAAACGAATTTGAAAATTGTTAAAAATAATTGATTTAAAGAAGAATTTTAGTTAAAAATAGTAGAAAAGTATAATTGAAGTGAAATGATGAAAATAATTTTAAAGAAGTTATAGTAAAAATATTTTCATAATATAAAATAATGATTTTATCACTATATAGGTTATCTTTTTATTATTATAAAACATGAAGATATTCTTATAAATTGTTGAAATTTCAAAAAGGTTTTTAATTTGAAATTTTTGAAAATCTTAATTCCTATTGTAAAATAAAATTTTTTTATGGAAATTATTAAATATTTATTTAAAAATGATTATCATTTGTAAAATGTTATTAAATTCTTGCAAAGAATTTTTGAATATAATTTGAATTTTTCGAGAAATTTATTTAAATTTGTATTAAAAATAATTAAATCCCTGTGAAAAATTTTATTATTTATGAAAATAATTGAATTCTTGCAAGAACGAATTTTATTATAATTTTTGAAAATAATTTTTTTTTTTTGAAAAATTTTATGGAGAATTAAATTTTTATAAAACATGAAGATATTAATTACTCCGAGTCGAAGACTCGGAGTGATTGATATCTTTATGTTTTATAATAATATTCTTATAAGTATTGTTGAATTTTAAAAATGTTTGAATTTGTATGTTTTGAAGAATTTTAATTCCTATGGAAAAGTAATAATTAAGTACTTATTTAAAAATTTAGTTATTGATGTTTGCGAATAATTTTACAATTTAAGAAATTCGTAAGAAAATGTAATAGAATTTTTGAGTATTTAATAATTTTTAGAGTGAATTAGAATATTCTTGTGAGTCAGGGAAAAAGTCAAAATTTCGTCTGGAAATCAGGGAAAAGCAAAATTAAATTTTTTTTGGCAACCCTGACAATGTAAATATTTTTTTTCTATATTTTCCAAAATTATTGATTGAAATAGAAATTAAAAGTCTAATTGAAACACTTTCTTTAAATTATTTTTATGCAATGTAACACAATATTATTCTAAAAAATTTGAAACAAAAATAAATACAATTTTGTTCATTTGAACGTTCAGAAATTTAAGGACATGAAATTAGTGAAATATTAGAGAAAAACAAAATGAAATTTTAGTGGCAACCGTGTATAAGAATTTAGGTTGTAATAATTAATGTTAATAATTTAAAATTTTCTAGAGAAGCAGTGGAAGCGTATTTTCTCTCTTGCATAAAGGAGGCTGACGTCCTGAAACATCGAGGCCAAGTAGTGTCTAGTATGCAGAAAAAGGATCATAATCAACTGTGGCTTGGATTGCTGAATGATAAATTCGATCAGTTTTGGGCTGTTAATCATCGATTAATGGAACCCAGTATTGATGAAGGCTTTAAATATATACCTTTTCGCTGTTATATAAATGATGAAATTTACATTCAAAAATTAGTGAAACCTCTTAGTGAGGAGGGTCATCGGAAAACGCTGAAAGATCTAGTGCACGAAGTTTTACCAGACAAAGAAGAAGGTTCGTGAATTTTTTTTTAATTTGGCGATTTTTAAATTAAATTTAATAATTTAATTTTATTTAATTTTATTATTTTTTATTTTATTATATTTTTTTTATTTAATTTAATTTTATTTTATTTTTAATTTTTAAATTAAACTGAGAAGAAATTTACTTGATTCAAGTAAACGATTATTTGTCTATTTTGTCAAATACAGGCCTTAGATATTATGATTTTTTCGACTTTTTTCAAATAATGCGACTTTTATCGACTTATATTAAAAAATTCCGACATTTTCGACTTTTCTTCCAAATTTTGCGATGAAATACCATATTTTTTAGTATAAAATACAACTTATTTCGATTTTTATACTGTGAAAAGCATAACTATAGACAAATCTTTGAAAATTTATTTTTGAATAATTTTTCTAATTAATTTTTGAAATATAAAATTATAAAGATTTTGAATAATTGAAATTTTGTAAAATTTAAATGAAAATAAATCATTTTTTCAAGTATTTTATTACAATTTTTGAAAATTAACTTTTAAAGAATTTTAATTGTAAATTTTTGAAATAATTGAATTTTCAATGATTTTAATGAATAATCTTCAAGTGTAAATGCAATAAGAATGAAAATTAATGAAAATTAGGTTCTAGAAATAATATTAAAATAGTTTTAAAAAAAGTAAATCTCCGAATTATTTTGTTCTAATTTTTTAAAATTCAATTATTTTCAACATTTTTGATATTTAATATTTTGAATATTTCTGAAAATTCAAATACAAACGCAAAATAATAACGTTAAAATTTTTTAGAATTATTTTGAACATTTTTGGAGAAAATAATCATATTCAAAATTTTTAATTAAAATTCTTCCAAAAAAATGATTTTTCTTTAAATTATACAAAAATTGTTCAATTTTTTTCAAAAAATTACATTAAAATATTTAAATAAAAAACTAATTCTTAGATTTAGTTTCTCATAATTTTTTAATATTCAATTACCTTCGAGCACAGTAAATTAAATTTTTTTTCAATTTATTATTTTAGAATTTTTGAGAAATTATTTAAAATTAAAATTCATCGAAAAATTTGATTATTTTTTGTATATGTATTTTTTAAAAAATCAATTATTTTTAAAAGATTTTATCAAATTTTCAATCATTTTTCAAAGATTTTACTTAATTTAAATTATTTTTTAAAAGATTTTACCAAATTTCAATTTTTTTGGACATTTTTTAATTGTATTTAATTGTAAAACTATTGTCTTTCAAAAATTATTTATAGAAATATTTTTAAAAAGTTAATTTTACGAATTTCTTTATTAAAATTTTGGAAAACATTCTACCCTAATATCTTTAAAAAGAAAAATAGATGATTTCCGAAAATTCAAATTGTACATATTAGCTACAAAACAGAATACAAACATTAAAATTTTACAGAATTTTTTTTAACATTTTAGAGAAAACAATTATTGTGAAAATTTTTAATTAAAATTTTTAAAAAATTTGATAATTCAATTTATATTTTTCAAAAATTAAATTATTTTTAAACGATCCTAACAAAAATCAATTGTTTTAAAATGATTTTAACAAATGTTGTATTTATTTTTAATGTAATTGAAATTTTGCAAAGATTTTTATTATTTATAAATATAATTGAATTGTTGAGAAGAATTTAATAAAATTTTAGAAAATAATTGAATTTTTTTGAAAAATATTTTAAAAAATTAAAAAAGTAATTGAATTTTTTCGTGGAATTTTTTTGAAAATTTTTGAAGTTTTGCAAAGAATTTTACTATTTATACATATAATTGAATTTTTTTCGAAGAATTTGTTAAAAATTTTAGAAAATAATTGAATTCTTTTGAAATATTTTATAACGAATTAATAAAAAATTGAATTTTTTTGTTGATTTTTTAAAAAATAATTGAATTTTTTTTAAACATTTTAATGTTTAAAGAAATAATTGAATTGTTTTGAAGGATTTATTAAAATTTTAGAAAATAATTGTATTCGTTTATAAAATGTTAGTAATATTTTGTTTAAAAATAATTGAATTTTTGCAAAGAATTTTTCTATTTATAAAATTAATTGAATTTCTACGAAGAATATTATTATTTATGAAAATAATTGAATATTCTTGCGAAGAATATTATTATTTATGAAAATAATTGAATTGAAATTAATTGAATTCTTGCGAAGAATCTTATTAAAAATTTTGAAATTAATAAACAAGAACAATTAATTAGTAAGTAAGTTAATAATTGAATTTTTTTTAAAAGTTTGAATTTAAAATTATTTATAAAAAACGACTTTTTCGATATTTTTGGATTTTTAATCGACTAAAGCGACTTTTTTTGTGTCTTAAAGTCGATCTGAGGCATGTTAGTAAATTAATTAATTAATTATGTAATATGTAATTTTTTACAGCACAAATTCGAATACATGGAATTTTACCACCTCAGGAAACACCACTTCAATGGCTTTCAGAACACTTTAGTTATCCTGATAATTTTTTGCATTTATGTTTAGTGTCTTCGTAACACTTCTATAAATGTAGCAATACTTTCATGAACGTTAATCGATTAAACAAAAGTCGAGAAAATGTTCTTATTTTCATTATTGATAAGGTTATACCATCGGTAGTAACAAAAAATCAAATTATATTTTATTTTTCTATATCTGCTTTACAACGTATTTGTAAAACTCTCAAGTTTATAAACTTATTTTGAAGAATTCTAAATTTTCAATCTATATACATTTCATTCATCATAAAGTAAAAAAATACAAAATACAAATAACTGAATTGTTGAAAGAAATTTAGTTTCTAAAACAGAGTTTTAAAATATGACTAGATTGAAAAAAAATTATATATAAAGTTTACAGTAAATGAAAATGTGGTTCAAATTTATATTTATTAAATCTTGCAATCTATCGTGTTAGTGAAAATGAAAAGAAATTTTTGAAGCACTGATAATTAACACAAATTATTTCTATTAAAATAAAATTTTCTTCTTTTTTTAGTTTGTGGTGACGCTAATTTCATTCAATGTTGTTAAACAGTCTTGAAGTTTATTTACTTGTTCGAGAAATTTCATTAGAATGAAAAGGTGTGTATATGTGAGTGTGAAAAATAAAAATTTAATTGTTTCTATATAAAAATGAATTGTTCGATTAATATTAGTTTTGCGCGAGTATGTGTGTGTTAAATTATTAAATCATGGAAATTTATGAGATTAAGTGAGGATTGTAAAAATAAAAAAAATTATATACGCTAAAATGTTCTGCTAAAAATTGTAAATAAATGTATTACATCTTTCAATGTATAAAATTTATTGCTAATAAAACTTTCCCTTAAACAGCATAAAAAAGGACTTACTATACTGTAGTATAGTTTTTACTTTCTCTTCAGTTTTTCAGATTAAAAAAAAAGAAGAAAAAAAAAATCTTATCGAACTTATTGGGCGACTTACTAGTCTAAGTCGCCTAAGTACCCTAAATGGCCTTAGTAGCCTAATCCGACTAAGTAGTCCAAGTACACTAAGTGGACCAAGTAGGCTTAGTAGCTCTAGTAGCCTAAGTCACCTACTCAGGTCATTTAGACCCAAAAAGCATGAGTAATCTACTTAGATTACTTAGGCCTGAAATTACTAATTAACCTACTTAGAATAATAAGGCCAAAAAGGCCTAAATAACCTAAATGGATTTCTTAGGACTAAAAAGTCTAAGTAACCTCCTTAGGTCTCAAAAGTCTAAGTAACTTACATAGATTACTTAGGCCTAAAAAGCCTAAATAACCTACTAAGATTACTTAAGACAAAAAAGCCTAAGTAACCTACTTAGGCCCAAAAAGCCTAAATAACCTGCTTAGATTCCTACTTACCTACTTAAATTACTTAGGCCTAAAAAACCTGAATACCCTTCTTAGATTACTTAAGCTTACAAAGCCTAAATAACCTACTTAGATTCCTACTTAAACCTACTTAAATTACTCAGGCCTAAAAAACCTGAATACCCTTCTTAGATTACTTAGGCTTAAGAAGCCTAAATAACCTACTTAGGCCCAAAAAGCCTTAATAACCTACTTAGATTCCTACTTACCTACTTAAATTACTTAGGCCTAAAAAAACTGAATACCTTTCTTAGATTACTTAGGTTTAAGAAGCCTAAGTAACCTACTTAGGCCCAAAAAGCCTAAATAACCTACTTAGATTCCTACTTACCTACTTAAACTTACTTAAATTACTTAGGTCTAAAAAACACGAATACCTTTCTTAGAAAGGTAGGTAGTTATTTAGGCTTAAAAAGCCTAAATAACCTACTTAGATTTATTACGTTTCTTAGGCCTAAAAAGCTTAAATAACCTACTTAGATTTTTAAGGCCCTAAAAAACCTAAGTAACTTTCGTAGATTACTTTTATAACGAAAACCTAATAAACCTACTTAGATTACTTAAGCCAAAATAGCTTAAGTTACCTACTTAGGCCTGAAAAACCGAAGTAATCTACTTAGGCTTAAGACGCCTAAGTAACCTACTAAGGCCTAAAAAGCCTAAAAAACCAGTTTAGATCCTACTTACCTACTTAAACCTACTTAAATTACTTAGGCCTAAAAAGCCTAAATACCCTTCTTAGATTATACTTAAGCTTAAAAAGCCTAAGTAGCCTACTTAAGCCCAAAAAGTCTAAATAACCTACTTAAACCTACTTACTAATCTACTTACATTTCTTAGGCCTAAAAAACCTGAATACTCTTCTTAGATTACTTAGGCATAAAAAGCCTAATAACCTACTTATAGGCTTAAAGAGCTTAAGTAACCTACTTAGGCCCAAAAAGTCTACATAACCTACTTAGATTCCTACTTAAACCCACTTACTAATCTACTTAAATTACTTAGGCCTAAAAAACCTGAATACTCTTCTTAGATTACTTGCATAAAAAGCCTAATAACCTACTTAGGCTTAAAAAGCCTATAAGTAACCTACTTAGGCCCAAAAAGCCTAAATAATCTACTTACCTACTTAAACCTAAAAGCTCCATAATCGTCCTATATCGATTACTTTTGCCTAAAAAGCCTAGAAACCTACATAGATTACTTAAGACTAAAAGACCTAAGTAAATTATTTAGACTATACTTTGGCCTAAAATGCCAAAGAAAGCTACTTAGATTACTTACGTTATAGTATTTAGGCCTGAAAGCTTAAAAAACCTACTTAGATTACTTCGGCCTAAAGAACCTAAGTAACCTTCATAGATTACCTTGACCTCAAAAGCCTAATAAACCTATTTACATTACGTAGCCCCAAAATGCCTAAGTAACCTACTTAGATTACTTATAGGTTACGCCAAAATAGATTAAGTTACCTACTTAGGTTACTTAGGTCTAAAAAACCTAAGTAATCTACTTAGGCCTAAAAAGCCTAAGTCAACTGCATATGTTACTTAGGCTCAAAATGCCTTAGGTTACTTAGGCCTAAAAACCTTAAATAGCCTACTTAGATTTACTTAGTCCCAAAAAACCTAAGTCACCTACATATAGATTATTTTGGTCTCAAAAGTCAAATGTAGCCTAAATCCTTTCTTAAGTTACTAAACCCTCAAAAGTTTATAAGTTATACTTAGGTTAATTAGGACCAAAAAGCCTAAGTAATCTACTCAGATTATTTAGGCCTAAAAAGTCTAAATAACATACTTAGATTACTTAGGCTACTCTTAAGCCAAAATAGATTAAGTTACCTACTTAGGTTACTTAGGCCTAAAAAACCTAAGTAATCTACTTAGGTTACTTAGAGGCTTAACAAGCCTAAATAGTATACTTAGAATTCTTAGGTGTCTTAGGCCTAAACAGTTTAAGGCGTTCTTGCGTTTGCGAAGGCAAAAAATAGGCCCCACTTTAATGTTTTTTTCACAGTCATTTTATTTAAAATATTAAAAACGTTTTTTGCATCTTAAAGTACAATATAAAAACTATAAAAAGAAAAAATTGTTTCGTTTTTTAACCGTTATTTACGATTCGTAGAGGGCGTCAAAGTATATTTGTAAGAGTTTGCGGTGCCCCCCAAAGAGCCGCTCCTAACAGTCTAAAATAAAAAAAACAAAATTTATTCCTTAGTATACATCAATACCTAGTGGACGTATGTGATAAAATTAAAAAAAAGTAAAAAAATTTAAGTTACCTACTTAGGTTACTTAGGCTCAAGACCTAAGTAAACTACTTAGAGTTTTGAGGCCTAAAAAGTCTAAGTAACCGAAGTAGGGGGTCGTTCACAAACTACGTCACACTCCTAGGGGTGGGGGGGAGGTGTCGAGCTGTGTGTGACGAAGTGTGGAAAAAATTTGTTTTTGTATGTAAAAAATGTGAAGAAGGGGGGGAGGGGGTTAAAATCAGTCTGAAAAAGCGTGACGTAGTTTGTGAATGACCCCTAGTCTAATTACCTTCAAAGCCTTAGTTGCCTAAGAATGTACACTATAAGAAGCCTAAGTTTCCAACGTAGGTTGAGGACCTTAAGTCTACTCTTTGTGTCCTGCCAAACCTAATTAGCTTATGTTGCCTAAGCACCTTGTGAAGCCCAATTCTACTAAGTTGCTTAAGTACCCTAGGTATCCCAACTAGACTAAGTAGCCTAAGTGGTATAAGTACGGTAAGTAGCCCTAAGTAACTTTCTAACCTAGCGTGACTGTAATATGTGTGATTCCAACCTGCCTCCCCAAGGTTCATGGTTCTATTTCTCGTGGGCACGAGTTTTTCGAGTTCTAGTTTTAAGTGTTTCACTTAAAACATTCCATAGTCATGTGAAGTGAAATGCAGATTATCATAACTAAAGTGATGTAAAAAAGTGAATAATTCACAGAATCATTAGAAGCAGACTAGAATTTCTAAGCTATCAATACAAGCGTGTCAAAAACGACTAGAAACCCACTATAGTGACTAGTTTATATTTGGAGCCCAGTTTTAAATAGGGTAAACTGTTGAGGACATACTAAAACCTTACCTCCATTTTTATATATCAATTGTTTGGAAATTTTTTATTAGGATTTATAATTGAAAGACTTTTATCTTTAAAAAATTAAACAAACGATTTTTTTTTGTATTTTTAATCGACTAAAGCGACTTTTTTGTGTCTTAAAGTCGATCTAAGGCCTGTTATTTCAAAAAATTGAAAAAATTCTTTGTTCAATTATTTTCCAAACTTTTAATTAAAATTATTTAAAAGAACAATATTTTCAAAAAATTTAAAGAAACTCGTCATAAGAATTTAATTTTTCCTTAATTGAATAATAGTTTATATTTTTTTTATATCATTTATTTAAATTTAAATATAAAATAGTCGCTACGTATTTTTTTTAAAATAAATTTATTTTCGTTATAGTGGCACATCAAGAAAAAGTCAATAATAAATATGTATGTCAATATTTTCAAAAATTTGTAAATAATTAAATTTTATAAAAATTGGAAAAATAATCCTTCATTAAAATATAAAAAAAAATCTGGAGAAAAAAAATAATCTTTTATTGGTGATGGTTATGTGACACTTGGAAGTTAGAGTCCGAGACAGGAAAGAAGGCAGAGAAGAGTCGACATCATTTGGGCGCCGAGAAGTCTAGAGCGCGTTTCTGGTTACAAGAACATTTGGGGCGCCTAGCGCTGGAGGGGAAACGAGGGGCGAAGAGGGGGGCTGCTGCCATCCATTGCCGCGGGTTTGCAAACATGGCTACCCCGCGCGTGAATGTATGTAGGTCCTCGACCGATCCACGCAGCGTTGATCTGTGCCGAGCCTTTCCCCTGCCCTCTCGCCACACCGCGCACCGCACACCATTTCGAAGGCGATTCTCCGTAAAAACCCCTTCCTCCATAACTTTCGATTCCCCATTGCCCCCCCACAGTTCCCTTCTTTTTCAATACGTATAAACCCGGACGACCAGGCCGACCGAGTTGGCGACACCCTGTCTGCCAAGACCGGCTGTGTCGGACAAAGGGAGGGGAAAAATGACGCTGCGTTGCCACGTCCTCGATCGCTGCGCCTACCTTTAACTCAAGGACATATCCGATCTTGCCAGCCGTTGTGGCGCGGTGACCACACCAGTCACTTGTGTTGACTATACGATCCCCAACTATACAATATCGAGATTCCTACACAAACAATTATGAATGTGTTTTGCAGGTTGGACTCTCTCACCAGCTTAAAATGTACCTGCGCGGCCTAGGCTTTTAACACCCGTCCGGCATAATAATCCCAAATAGAATCTTTCTTCGCTAGTTTTTTCCACACCTAAACACTACGGGTAAAAGATTCCTATCTCTAAATCCAAAGAATAAGAATT